TACAAAATATCCTATTTGTCATTTTATTTTAAATACAACTGTGCTTAGATAAGATAATGTTTATGATAAATATAATTTATTTTATGATAAGCATATAATAATAAGTTATAATAATTAATAAATTGAAAAAAATTTCTCAATAAAAAATAAACCTAAATAGGACAAAATATTGAAGAGAAACAAACACTGTCTTCGTCACCACAACACTTAAAAAGCAATACACAAAAAATTTGATATGTCCTCATTTATTACATACAATTCAAAGATTAATACACAATCACATAGATACAAAAATGCAAAGGAATAGAGAATTTGCTTATCTTATATAGTCAATGAGAATTGCAAAGTTGAAGGGGGAAGGGGGGGGGGGGTTAGGATGAAAAAATACCTGAGGCAGTGAGTATCGATGTAGGAGTTTTGTTCTAAAAAGGAATATTTTAAGGATAAAATTGTAAAAATTTTGGTCAAACTTAAAGTGCTTATAAGCTAAAAATTCATAAGCTGGGGGTGACCAGCTTATGGCTTTTGGCTTATTTTTGACTTATAAGCACCTGGCTTATAAGCACTTTTAACTTTACCAAACGCGTAGATAAGCCGAAAAGTTCTTATAAGCTAGTTTGACTGGCTTATAAGCTTAGCCAAACACCCTCTTATTCAAACACTACAAAATGGCTTAAAAGCTATTTTGGCTTAAAAGCACTTAAAATAAGTCAATCCAAACGGGCTCTAACTTGACCCAGTCTATCTCATCCCAAGTTACTTTTCGACAAGTCATAGACACGCTTATTTGTTGACTCAACCTGTTTTGACCCGCCCGAAATTAGTACAACCCGCCAATTTGACACCCCTATGTGACTCCATAGTAAAAATTGCACAGACTAGTCAGTTTTCGGACTAGTAATTGAAAAATAGTCAGCGTTTGCAAAGTCATTGAAAAATAGCCACTATTTTGCTGCAACACGGAAAGTTCCAGCATAATATACTGGAGATTGGTGCTTCTGTGTATGAACTTCCAGCATATTATACTGGAACTACAGCACACGGAATGTTCCAACATAATATACTGGATACTGGAGCACCTGTGTATGAACTTCAAGCATATTATGTTGGACCAATGTATTATGCTGGAACTCCAGTATATTATGCTGGAGTTCACATGTAAAAAAATCGAACTCCAGTATATTATGCTGGAATATTTTCCCGATTTTGAACAGTATTTTCGTTCAGATTTATTTTTTCCACTAGTAAATCTAGCTATTTTTTAATTTCACCCCACTCCATGTCATACAAAAATCATATTTTAATTACACGTAGGGGTGTTCATAAAAACCCGAAAAACCAAACCAAACGGAAGACCAAACCAAACCGACCAAAAAAATCGATACATTTTGGTTTGGTTTGGTTTTTGGGTTTGAATTTTAAAAACCGATCAAATTTGGTTTGGTGTTGGTTTTAATCAGAAAAAACCGAACCAAACCGACTATAGAAGTAGCTATTTCAAATTTATTATTACACCTATATATGTATATTTATATAAAGTTTCAAAAATTTAATGGTAAATGTTAATAGTTTGCATTTTTAGTATAGTTCTTTATATTTACATTCTAGTTTGATTGGTAGTTTTATTTTGTTAAGTATAAGAATTCATTTCGTGTTAAAAATAATATATTATTAACTGAGTCCTTAAATTATTCATCACTATTTGATTCAATCATCATCAATTATATCTTGGTAAATAATAGATTTCTCAAAGGGCAATTGATTTGATAGTGTTACGTTGAAAATGTGATCTCCGGAATATGTGTTTGGTAGTGTATATCTTATATTTAAGAAAAAACCAAAAAATAATCGAAAAAACCGAGAAACCGACATAAACCGAATCGAGAAAAAATCGACTTACTTGGTTTGGTTTGGTTCTAATATTTGAAAAACCGACTTACTTGGTTTGGTTTCTTTTTAGGGAAAAACCGATCCAAACCGAACCATGAACACCCCTAATTACACGTACCTTTCTTGTGAAAGTCATTTCACGAGCGAAAAGGAGATCATATCATTGGTAGATCCTTATTGTCAGGGGCGGAGGTAGCATGACGGTTATGGGATCGGCCGAACTCGGTGTCTTTAGTCCAAACACTATATTTATCTTTCAAAAAATTAATTAAAAATGTATAATTTATTAATTTAAAACCCAATAACTTAACAAGACTAAAATTCCAAACCCATTAACTTCAAATCATGGCTCCACCTCTGCTTATTATGAGATTGATGTATCATAAAATTATGCATTGTAAGTTTGTAACTTCCAAATATAACCTTTTCCACATATTTTGAGGGAAGAAGATATATACTCTACTACGTATTTGATAGTAGTACTAGCACATATTATCGATTAAGAACTCTCTTTTCCTTGCCCGGTTGAATGGCAGACTTTTAGATAATTCCAAGACATGCTTCGCGTTTAGCTTGCAATATTGTACGGGGAAAAGGATAATATTTCACTGGATCCAATATATGAAAAATATAATCGTGTCCAAATCTTGGTTAATCGTGGTTTTCTTCCTCAATCATTTAGTTCCAATACTATATGGTTCTAAATCTTGACTATTAGAAAAAGTCTTGTAAAGGCAAATTCTTTTTGTAATGAAAGAAGTCTAACAAATTGATACACTTCACATGGCCGACCAAATGTAAATGATTGAAAATAAAAAGATGCAGCCTAAGATTTGTTTTTCACAAGGATGAAGAATCGCTGGCCTAAACTCAATCTCAAAAATTAATTTATGAGGTTGACCAAGATCATATAAGGAGTTTAATATTTTCATCATCAACCGATGTGGGATATTCATTAATAGCCATGTCCAACATGAATTATGGGTTCGAGAACCCAATAGCTTTTGTCCAAACCGTATATCTCTTTTAAGAAATTCATTAAATAAGTACGATTTATTAATTTAGAACCCATTAACTTGCAGATTAGATTTTCGAACTCATAAATTTCAAATCCTGACTCCGCCTCTGACCGGAACATGTGGGCTAAACATGGAGAGAGCCGCAGGCACCACCATTTTTGGAGCAGTTCAGTACTATAATATCTGACTCTGACCCGGAGCATGAATATTGAAATCGGTATTTGCATCTCATTCAAAATTATTAATTACTTTATATATAACACTAGCGAAAGAGAGACAACAACAGAGACAGTTCTTCGCTAACAGATTGTTTGGATGGTTGTTATTCATTGTATCGTGTTGTATTGTTATCCCAAAATAATGTTTATTTTGATTGTTTGGTAAAATTGGTTGTATTGTATTGTTAAATTCATTTTTCCGGAACAATAAAATCTTATTTTTTGAAACAACCGATTTGGTGTCATATGATTGTTTCCTATTTTTCTTTCCAATTATGCCCTAACTTATTAATCCATAATTCCATTTTACCTTTACTTTATTTATTTATTTATTTATATTTTAACTTCAAATGTCCCACCGTTCCTTTTTTTTTTCCAGAACTTATGCCGCTTCCAACTCCAACGTAAAATTGCTAATTTTGTTCCACTAGTTTTGTTAGAATTTGCATGAATTTAATTGCTTAATCTGTTTATAAGACATATTTGGTGATCAATTAGTAGAAAGAGATTTTCTTAAATTATTTTATGCGTAATTCTTGATAAATTTAATATTTAAACAATTAAGGGTATTTTAGTAAACTTATCAGTTACAATACAGTATGATACAGTCAAACCAAACAACAAAATATTTTTTAACAATAAGCAATACAATCCATCGAAACACTGTATTTATAAAACGATACAATACAATACATTATAAGACAATGGGCAACAACCATCCGAACAAACTGTAAGATGCCGATCTACCGTACGGATCACTGCATGTGGGTTGGGTTCGGAGCATTGAAATATTTGGTCTAACTTTATGTATTTGTGTGACTATACGTTATCTCATTCATACAAATTAATTCAAATAGTTAATAAATATAAAATATAACATTTTCTTGGCCAGATTAAAAAGAAGGCAGAATAGCCTAAATGGCACTTGTACTTCACCCACTTTGTCATGCCGGTCCCCAAACTTACATATTTGCCAATTGAACACTTATACTCATTCAAAACGTGAATAATAAACGCTTATCCAACGTGGCTTATCCTATGTGTCATATGTGGCTGCAGTGCGTGATTCACACGCCTGTAAGGGGCGTGAAGACAATAAAAAAAGCCCTAACGGTAATAATTTAGCCTATTTAACATCCATCTTCTTCTTTGTACCTTATTCTCCATTGTTGAACATTGTAGAAGCTAAATTTAGCAAATCTGATGCCTTCTTCTTTCTTTGAAAGTGGATTTTTTTCCGCTTCTCCTGCAACAAATACGCTATTGCCGCCTCTTCTCCTTCAACAATGAGGATGCAACCTTTGTGTTATTGTGGAGTTGCTGCAGATCTTAAAATGTCACGAACATCCACCAATCCTGGAAGGAGGTTCCTGGGCTGCTGAAGCTATGAGATTGGTGAAGGTTGTGGCTTTTTCAGATGGGTTGATCCTGCGATTGAGGAAGAACACTACAAGACTCTTCTTGCGGCTCTTATTAAGAAGAGTGATCGATGCCATTGTCAAAGAAGTCAAGGAAGGTCGAAGTTGAGAGTTGCTGCTATTATAATTGTGGTTGTACTTGTTCTAATGTTAGCTATTATGTTATTTGTTTAGGATTGATAGTGCACTTTGTTATTTCCTGGGTTTAGGCTACATATTTTGTGTTGATGTAAAATTTTGTTCATGAAATATATTGACAAAGGCTCCATTACAGCAACAAGTACTAATATAATGGCCTGTGTTATAGGCAGTTAATAAAACATCCAAAATAAGGGAGTTGGTTTACAAAATATTGTCAATGATAGGCAATCAACAAAAACATACATAATGAAGTAGCTTTACAAAATATTGTCTACCACAGTCAACAAAAACATAGTAAATATCAGTTGAGCACTTCAATTAATGTCTGTTGTGGCTTGGCTGCTTGGTGTGGATTGTGTAACTGGTGTGGCTTGAGTGGTTGTAGCAGACTTTGCCCTTCTGTAACTCTGTTCTTGCAGCTGCCTTTGTGTAACTGCTGGTCGGCCCTTCCACTTTAGTCCAGGTGGTTTGAACCTAAGTTCAATGTTGGTAGGAGCAGAACTTATGAGTGTAGAAGGATTGTGTACCACCCTGTCAGTAGTTCCAGACTGCACAAAAATAAAAGGTTGTGAGTGAGGGATTATGTAGTAAACCATTGTGTAATTGAGTTGAAATATTTACCCTCTGTATAACAGTGCCACTTGAATCAAATAGCACACCATATCCTGCTGTCTTTGTTCTCTTAGACCCTGCATTTGCACCACCTCTTCTAGGCTCATTGGTCTTCCTTTTTGGACCTCTTGCAACATTAGTTGATTGTTGTGTGCTTGGATCAAGGATTGCTGGTGTTGTTGATGCACTTGCAGGTATTGTTGATGCACTTCCAGCTGCTGCAGTTCCACTTTTAGCAGTTTCACCTCTACCTGAACTAGTTCCAGCCCTTCCCTCTTGGTTTTTCTGCATACACATAGCAAAACTATCACTAGTAATTGAATTCTTTCAATATTAGTAACAAAACAAACATTAATACTTACTGCTGATGGGCATCCTTTCTTGTTATGTCCTAGAGTCTTGCACAAAGAACATCTCATTTGTCTCCCTATCCTTGTACCCTTCCCAAACTTCTTCTTTGGTTCATCAGCAGCCTTTGTCCTTTTTTTCTTTGGCCTTCCCGGCATTGCAGTTATAACAGGTGGCTCAATAGCTGGCAGTGTGCTTGTTGGCCACAAATTCATACTAGTTAAAGGTTGAATGAATCTGCTATATGCCTTAAGGTAGGTATCCTTTCTATACCAATGGTCAACATATGGCTCAACCTCATAGTTCTTGTAATGCATTGCTGTAATTGCATGTGCACATGGAATTCCTTTGAGTTGCCATGATCTACAAGTACAGGTATATGCCCTAAAGTCAACAACATGTTTATATGGCCCATCCTGGATCTCATACCCTATTTCACCATTAAATTTGACTTCACATTTGGCTGCCCTTTGAGCATTCTCTCCAAGTATTTCCATAGCCATGGGTGATATCTCATCTACCCATTTTTCAGAAAACTCTCTCATGCTATTCATCCTCTCCATACACTTGATTCTAATTTCCTCTAACATAGTAATGATAGACTTGTGCCTAGCTGCCAATATCCAACTATTGAATGTCTCACACATGTTGTTCTCAACTACATCACACTTACTATGGTCTTTGAAATATGCCCTACACCATGTTTCCTTGTTGTATTTCAGTAAGTCCTGAACAATATTTCCCCCCAGCTAGTCCATTTCATCCAACTTCTTGCTAAAGTAAACCTCAAATGTAGCTCTTGCACACTGCCAGAATTTTTTCCTTCTTTCCTCACCAGGCCAAGTTTGCTTCCAATTAGCCCAGAAATGTCTAGCACACCATCTCATTTCAGCATTTGGCAATAACTGAGTTGTTGCTAGATGAAGACCCTACAGTCATAAAAATTATATTGTTATAACTTAAACATAAATGAAAACAATTACACTTTAAAGAAAGAGTATTAGAAACCATACCTTCTGCATATCAGACATGACTGTCAGCCCTTCTCCTTCAGTTTCTGTCAAGTTTAGATCATGCTTGAGACACCTGATAAACCAAGACCATGTATCCTTTGATTCCTTTTCAACTACTGCCTAAGCCACAGGGAACATTTGATTATTTCCATCCTTGGAAATGCAGGAAAGCAGTCCACCTTTACATGTCCCCTTTAGGAATGCACCATCAAAGCCAATTATGTTTCTGCACCCTTCTAACCATCCAGTTTTTAATGCTTCAAGACAGACATAAATGCCCATAAAGACTTCCTTGCCAGAAACTGAATCCTTAGATGTCCTTATCACTACAGTAGTGCCAGGATTAGTAGACTTCAGTATTTCTGCATAATCATGAAGCCTAGCAAATTCTTTCTTGTAATCACCCATATTCTCCTTCATAACTATCATTTTTGCTCTTCTACAGGAAGTTTTACTCATATACAAGCCATATGATTGCCTAAGTAAGGCTTGAATCTGATGAAGTTTAATTTGAGGCTCACTAACTATTCTGTCTTTGAATTTTTTTGCAATCCATGATGGGTTACACATCTTGTTCCTTGTTTTCTTGTAGCATTTATGGACAGGGTAGTATGTAATCACCCTAAAGTTTCTGGTGCTGCCTTCAATGCTACCAAGGATATGCCATGGACATCCATTTTTTGTGCACTTTGCCCTAACCCTTTCCTTCTCATTAGGTTTCAACTTAAGGTTGACACCTTTTTGAATAGAATATGTCTGCAATGCCTCCCTAAACTGTACAGCATTCTCAAAGATCATATACAGTTCAAAAAATATTTTTTTGGAAGTTGTATCAAAATACACCTTCTTACTTGGATTCCTAGCTGGAGCATCCCTTACTTCATTAGGGCCAACAGGTTCTCTGTCATCATCACTACACTCACTACCTGGATCTGAGCTATCAAAATACTGGTCATCCCCTCCTAGTTTCCTTTCATATTTTCCCCTTTTGTTCTTATGCATATCTTCAAAACCATCATCTACACCAACTGGACCAGATGGTATCTCATCTACATTTACTTGGGCATCCTTCTTTTTGTTGAGTTTAGACTGTCTAATTTCAACTAAATCATCTTCCAAATCACTACACTCTTCAATGTTCTCATCTATATCAAACAGTGAGTCAGACCCTTCAGAATCATCAAGGTCCTCATCAGATTTAGATTCTGATGTTTGAAGGTGATAGGAAGAGAAGTTATTACTTTCACCTTCATCTGATTCTTCTATCTCTTCATTTATATCTGCCCCCTTACCCTTATCTTTGTCAATAAATGTCCTAAACATGCAAAAGCCCCCCCTGTGCCCCCCTTTCCTAGGTTACCTGGACACGATCCGTCTATGTTTAGTTTGTAGGTCCCTAGGTCTGGTGGGTCCCATTTAATGAGGATAGTTCTTTTTGGTGATCTAGTAGGGTTCCAATTGCTGAGGAAGAGGAATTCCTGTGTGCTATTGATCACTTTGCTAAAGTTGGGATATGGGCTACTTTTGTGAAAAATTCTTTCATTTCTCGTGGTCCATAAATACCAAAGTAGGAAGGGTAAGAGGATGGGCCAAGTAATGTATTGGTTATAGTGCTTGTTTGATTTTAATTGGTGCTTTAGCCAATGGAAGGTTGATAAATCATTATCCAGGGATGGGTAGTTGTGTTTTATGTGACATTGCCTCCATATTTCCTTCGAGTAGGTGCAAAAGAAGAGCATGTGTTTTATATCCTCTTTTCCAGTTCCACATATGGTACAAATATCAGAAGTGCAGATATTGCGTTTTGCTAGAAAGGAGGCTGTTGGGAGTCTATTGAGGGTAAGCAGCCACATGAAGTGCTTTAGCTTGTTAAGGGTGTTGCATTTCCAAATCCTCTTATAATCTAGGCTGTTTTCCTCAGTTTGAGTATCCTGGAGAGTAGCCAGACTATAGGCTGCCTTGACTGAGAAGGAATTATGGCCTGGTGAGCTCCAGGACATTTTATCCCTACCAGGTTGGGATTGTTATATATAAGTGCTATGGATTTTTAGGATTGTGTCTTCAGGAAGCTCAAAGGATAGTGTTGATAGGTTAAAGGAGCCATGCTGGATAATTGAGCTTACTTTCATGTCCTCTTCCCCTTTTTGGAGAGGCCCCTGGATACTGCTTCTTAGGTTGTTTCCTTGGTGTATCCATCGGTCGTTCCAAAGGTTTATGTCTACCCCATTGCCAATAATCCAATTAGTCCCTTTTTGACAGATCTTTTTTCCTTTATGAATATTTTTCCAGATATGTGAGGATCCCGGCTTGGGGAGTAATCTGTTATTTTGTGGGGCAATCCTATCATATTTAATGTGAAGAACCCTGACCCAGAGGGCTTTTTTGTTGTTTAAATATCTCCAGGCAAGACTAGAGCTGAAGGCCTTGTTTTTATAGCTGGTTTTATAGAGTCCAAGGCCTCCTTGGTTCTTTGGGGAGGTGACTTTATTCCAATTGAGTATGTGGCACTTTCTTTTTTCCTCTGTGCTACCCCATAGGAAACTTCGTTGGATGGAATCTATCTTATTTTGGGTAGCTCTAGGTAGGTCAAAAATTTGCATGTCATGATTGGGAATGGCCGCAAGGGTTGCTTTGATGAGGGTGGTTCTTCCTGCTAGATTCAGGAAGCGGCTTTTCCATCCTTTTAGTTTGTTGTTTAGGTTATCGATAATGAACTGGAAATCCTTTTTGGATAACCTCAGGTTTGTTATGGGGAAGCCCAGGTATTTTCCTATTGAACAAGATATTTTCATGTTTAAACAACTACTGAGTAGAGATTGTTTATCAGGGTGAGTGTTTTTTGAAAAAATAATTTTTGATTTGCTGAAATTGATGGATTGGCCGGAGAACTCACAGAATTTATTCAGAGTGTCTATAAGAGAGTTGCAACTTTTCTGATTTGCCTCCATCATTAGAATAAGGTCGTCTGCAAAGAATAGGTGGGATAGTTTGGGACCCTTTTTTGATAAGGTTATGGGGTCCCATCTATGGCAATCTACTTCATGGTCAATAAGTCTAGATAGCATTTCCATGCATGTTATGAATAAATACGGGGACAGGGGGTCTCCTTGCCTAATGCCTCTAGTCGGGGTAAAAAATCCTGTGCTTGAGCCATTTATAAGAATGGAGGTGGATGTAGAAGATACACAGGACATTATAAGCTCAATTAGCTCATTTGGGAAGTTTAGGGATTTTAAGGAGAATCTGATGAAGGACCATTCAAGCTTATCGAAGGCCTTCTCTAAGTCAATTTTTATCATGATTTTCCCCTTGTTTCCTTTTGTGTTTTTAAAATATTTTTGGACCTCATGCACTATGATGGCATTGTCTGAGGCTCTTCTACCCCTTATAAAACTCGTTTGAGANATAATTTTTTTATCCTATTTGGCCATCAGATGTGACTTGGAGCCTACGTGGATATATTTTATTGACGTGGCGTCCTACGTGTAGGCGATTGTCAAACACGCACTGGCAGCCTCCTTGGATAAGCGTTTATTATTTACGTTTTGAATGAGTATAAGTGTTTAATTGGTAAATATGTAAGTTTGGGGACCGGCATGATAAAGTGGGTGAAGTACAGGTATCATTTAGACCATTCTGCCTAAAAAGAAAAGTATTCTACATAGTTGGGACAGAGAAAGTATTTAACGAGAATAATATCGCGTTCAGAATCTCATATCTCAAAGGGCGTCTATGAAAGCCACAATAAAAAGGTCTTAGATAGTGAAGTAGGTCTCAAATCACCATCATAGTCATAGAGAGAAATGACAATCATCTAATTTTTTTTTTTTTTTTTTCCATACGAGTTCAGAAAATATTGAGGAATAGTAATGGTCACATAAGCAAAAAAATAAAGAAAGCAAGAAAAAACCTGCCTAGGTTCTCTGTGTACAATGAAAACAAACTTTTTCTTATAGCAATAACAACAACTTATTTCTAGCACACAACATGATCAAGAAGGTTGTTGGGCTAAAACGCCCAATGATACTCTTAGCATGGTATGAGATTGTCTGTTTTGGGCTAAGCTACACGGTTTTCTCTAAATGGGTTCACGCAATTAAGTTATCCTTACACTTTATATGTAGACTCCCAGTCTTTTCAGCTACCTTTGTTCGCACACCCAACAAAGGCGACCCATCAAAAGCTCAAGTGCCACTGTACAGAGCCTCTGAAACTCAGATATTAGATGCTCTTCCACTTGGAACACTAAGTGTGAATGGTAAAATCTCGAAATTCAGCTTGCCCGAGAGGCTGACAAAGCTAACCCTATCAAATGTTTCGTTGCCACAAACTGAAATGTCTAATATCAGGAGATACCAAATTTAGTGGTTCTCAAGATGGAGCATAGATCATTTCAGGAATGAAAATGGGACATTAAACAAGAGTTTCACTACCCTCAAGGTTCTTAAATTGATGTCCCTCAAAATTACATAAGGGAATGTTTCAGATGAGTCATTGCCAAACCTCGAATGGCTTCGGGTAGAAAGCTGTTTCCATCTTCAAGAAATCCCTGCTGCTATTGCATAGATGCAAGCCTAAACACTACTAGAATTCCTGTAAAAAGCGACCAAAGATTAGCGACCAAATTTGGTCTG